TTTATTTAACCAAAAAAAACGTTGGGTTTATTTTAATGTAAATTAAATTAACGAAACTGAAGTGTAACCTCATCACACATAAAGAATGTTTAAAAAATTTTCGTTATACCTTTATAATTTATACTTTTCAACTAAGGGAGCATCTCGAAAATATCGATAGGAATTATTCCTGGAACTAGCCCGTTCACAAAGACAACTCTGTAGTGACAATGATAATGTGCAATCACCTCCGATATTGATATTGCAAGATTGATAAAAATTTTTCTAGGGTATATTTTGACGATATTATGAATTCACAAAACGAAACAATTGAACCAACCAAAGACGTAAATCATTAAGATTTTTCTTCAAATAGAGGAGGGACTGATAAAAACATTACAAGAAATATTTTTATCTTATAATTTATCTTAGACTCTTTTTTTCATCAGTTTTTTCCGTTTATTCAATTGATTTTTGTTTTTTTTATTACTTTTTAAAAATTTATTATAATGCTGTTGTTTGTTTTTAACGTATTTTATAGCTGCCTTATATTCAGCAAGAGCAATTTAAAAGAAAATTGAAAATCATTTTTTGCCGACAACTTTTTTGAATCATTTTTGAGTTCTTCACGAAATTTTTTTGGGTAATATAAGTCAATAATCTACGGTGAAAATTTTGCTGCATTCATTCAAATCTCACCAATGATAAACGTTAAACGTCGTATTAGCAATTTCCTCGCCTTATACATTCCCAATAAAAATTACATGTTTGGTTTTTCATATCCATGTTTCAGCATTGCGTGCAATTTATAAATTCACTACTTCAGGATCGTTTTTTTGATTTTTTTTGCATTTTTCAGGAATTTTCCAGGTTTATATCGAAAAATGGAATCTATCATTAAATTCCCAAATGAATTTGAGACGCTGCGGTTTTTTAATTTAACTTTTTTCACCTGTGTGGTTTTACCTTTAATGACTGAAACTGTACAAAAAATATTTTCGAATATGGTCAATTCACTCGCCTTCGAACGCCAATAATATATGATATTGACCGTTAAAATCTTTCCACTTACACCCTAAATGTTACGATAAAGACCGTGGACTGTAGAAGGCTTATTAAATTTTTCCATCTATGATTTTTTTAATATTCGTTATTACTCCAATGAAATATAATTCATATAAAATAGGCAATACGTAGGCTTTCACCCACTTGTTATGAGTTCCAATGCACCTTATAGCGTCAATAGAGGTCAGTTTGATAACCATTATTGTCACTGAGTATGATATTATTTTTAATATATTTGGAATTTGCTTGAAATTTTGTATATTTGCTTCTTTTTTCTGAAATTTGGTACCATCTATCCAAATCATTTCATTAACTTCAAAATATTCTAAAGTTTTCTTCTGTTAACCAATTTTATTAAAAAAATTTTCAAACCGATAATAATATTAATGAATAATAATTGTAATAATAATTATAACGAAGCAAAGGCATAAAACAGAAATTTTTCATTTTTTTTCAAGGATAAAGACAAAAAATATTTGCTTGCTGGCAGGTGATGGTTTATCATAAATACCAATAATAAGGTATAAAAGATGAATGTTAAACAAAAAAAATTCGGATTTTTTTTGGGATTTAATCTTTTTTATTATTTTACTCAACGACCGATAACATAGCAAATTGATAGTTCATTATTAGCACCATCTATATTTTGATTTATTCATTTCGTGAAACGAAAACATCACATTTCAATGAATATTTTAAAATTTATAGAAATATGATGAGCGATCTCAAAATTATTTTGCAGTTTAGTTTAGTAATCAGTTTAGTGATCAAAAGATGAGATAGGTGAATGGCTGTTGTTGCATTCGGAAGTGGACCTAACCTATTATTAAAACATTCGAGCGAAACTGGTGAGTCACTTGTATAAACCTATCGCCAAGTGGCTTTCTTATCCTTTTAAAGGCAGATAAAACTATTTTTTAAATAAATTTAATTCTTCCAGCAAAATTGCACTGGAAAAAAACTAGGAGGTTTCATAAAGATAAGTCTTATGCGGAAGTCTAACTGCTAAAAAAAATTTGCAGAAAGTTTACCGAAAAATGAAATGGTCATGATCGGGGGATACTGGGATGTGTAGATAAAATATGGGAACGGAGACCGATGCACCAATGAATAATGCCTTCTTCGCTTTACCGCAGAACATTTTTTCTTACTAATGCTTCAAAAAAAATCACCTGTTGTCTTATCAAAATATAATTAATTAAGGACAGTAAAGTTGTTTTTTTCAAATTTGTCTGCTTTTTCTTGGCTTTTTCTTTTTTTTGGATCATTTTTCAGTGATTCTTTAATGTTTCTATTCATCTTTTGGGCACCGTAAAAGGTCATGGAAGATCTAATCACTTGGAACTCTCCGGATAACCAATACTCAGATTGATCAATTGCCACAGGAAAAGTTTCACACAATCATTTCTATCGCGGCGCTGAAAAGGGCAACATGGGTCCTTAATGGATCTGACCAAGTTATGGTCTGAGCCATGATTCACATAAACAACTATTCTACTTTCTTCAAAAAAATAATTAGAACACGGGGAACGATCATTCATTGAAATAGCGACAGCAATAGCGTGCCTGCTAAGACCATTAAGAATCGGCTCATAAGATGGAAGGAATTTTTTGAGGTTAACCATGATGCGCCAGCTGCTAACCTGGACATATCTGATACTTTTAGTA